TTTTTTTTTTTTTTTTTTTTTTTTTTTTTTTTTTTTAATAAGAGGAAATCGTGGAGGGAAAAAAAATTCAAATTTCAGTGAAAAGTGACTGTGAAAGAAAGATCTGAAACAAAAAAGTCATCTGCAAGGCAACAAAAGAAAACTGGGGAAGAATCATCAAATCTTTAAAGTTGGAAAGGACCTTTAAAAGTCATCTAGTCCAACTGCCCTGCAATGAACAGGGACATGCACTGCTAGGTCACCTCAGAGCTTTCTCTTCTCCAGGCTGAGCTGCCCCAGCTTTCACAGCCTGTCTTTGTAGGAAAGATGTTCCATCCCTTGGACTGTTTGTGGCTCCCTTCTGGATGCACTCCAACAGGTCTACATCACCTCCCTCCATATCCTGGCCACGCTTATTTGATGCAGCCCAGGATATGTTTGGCTGGGCTGTGAGAGCACACTGCTGGCTCCTGTCCAGCTTCCCATTCACCATCACCTCTGGGTCTTTTTCAGCAGGGCTGAGCTCAATTCTTTCATCTCCCAGCTTATATCAGTAGGGGGGCTTGCTGCAACCCATGTGCAAGACCTTAGAGTTGGCTTTGTTGGACATCATGAGGTTCACCTGGGCCCACTACTCAAGCCTGTCTATGTCTCCCTGGATGGCATCCCATACCTCAGATGTGTTAACTGTACCCCACAGCTTAGTGTCATCAGCAAACTTGCTGATGGTGCACTTGAGCCCACTCTCAATGTCACCGATGAAGATATTAAAGAGTATCAGTCCCAGAACTGACCTCTGTGGGACACCACTCATTGCTGATTTCCATCCAGACGTTGAGTCACTGACCACCACTCTCTAAATTCAATCCTGCAGCCAGTTCCTCATCCATTGAACAGTCCACCCATCAAATCCATACTTTTCCAATTTGGAGAGAAGAATGTTGTGGAGTACTATGTCAAAGGCCTTATTGAGATAGCATAGAAGAAGCATAGGAGAACCACCAAACCAGAGACAGAAAACTTGATAGCAAACCACAAGGAATGAAGCAGTATTCCATATTTTGAAAAATATTACATATTTTAACTGAAATTGCTATCCAATGAAACAGGAAAACAACCAAGAAAAAAACTGAGAGATGCTGTTCTACCCAAGAGAGGTGGGAGTATGGGAGTCTCAGTGCTGCTAGAAGAGAAATGCATAGAAGGCTGAGGAAAGAGGGCAAGGAGCAGAAGAGCACACTACAGGCATTGTCACAGCAATTTTCTTTCTTCTGTAGGCTCATAATAAACACATGGACCATTTTTCACATACTTGGAGTCCAGAGAATTTTCAGTCCAGCTACATGCCTCCAAATTCTTTCAGAAGCATTTGGAAAGAGAACAAATAGAACATATACAGGCAGTTGTATGAAGTGCTTATTCTATGAATGGAATAAATCATAGCTGTAGCTAAAATCTGAGGGATAATTTAGTATACATAACATTAGTACATTTATGCAATTCTTCATTCTCCCCAGTGAACTGAAACAGAAATCATTTTTGCACTAATCAGTATAATCTACATTATCCCAACTAATGATGATCAGTGCCACCTTACTCATTTTATATGCAACTTTTTCTATTTTGTTAATTATCATAATTAAGAATTATAGACAGAAAAAATCTTGTCACAAATAATGAATCTGCTCAGAAATCATAACTCCTAGAATTAGAACAGCAGTTTAAGACTAGAATTCTGCTTTGCACTGAATTGACAATGTTTTTTGCCTTGCTAAACAAGGAAAAGTCATCTTCAAGCAAACCTTCACTGCTGATACAAAGCAAGATATTTAACAAAAAAAACAAAACACATCAAAGCTTTTGTAGGATGGGAGTGGGGCAATACTATCAGAACCATAAAGGATTTTTGAAAAAATCATTCCCTCTTAAAAATGCTGAATAATCAATCCTCCTACATCAGGATGTCATAAGCCACCAACGAGGCAACAAAATGACAGATTATAACTACTTTTGAGAATACTCAGATGCCAGCAATATAGGCATTCTGGGCATGCTTTCCACCCATATATCCCAGAACACAGATAGATTGCAAAGAAAGAGTAAAACGAGATATTATCAACATTCAGTGCAAAATACAACAATATATCCACTATTCTCTTGGAGGTAACTTGCTAAATGCAGCTTCTTCAGAGCTAAAACCTTCCAAGAAGCCAAAAACACAATATTTACGTAGGGTGGGGAAAAGATTATGAAGGATACAGAGGAAGATACACTGCATTCACATACTGAAGAAAACAAAAATTGCACTAATAACAGTCATTGTGATTAACAGCTGTTTATAAATATATATATATACTCAAAACAGTTCTGTGCACTAAAGATATTCAACTGGGTCTACAAGGATATTGTTCTACTTCCCCATGAAGAAATATCTACTACTGTGATCAATTCAAAGCCTTCAAATGCCACCAGCAGAAAAGAAAATGGAAAATTACAACTCAGTGTATATACCACAGACTCCAGTGCTTTTTCCAGCTTTGCATGTATAAAAAACAGCATTTGAAGCAAATCACATCACTCAAACACACGATTAAAAGCAACTCCATTAAGCATAGCAGACAGCGTACTATTTAGTGGTCAATCTACCTACAGCACACATTAACCCCATGTTGCTACAGCCATACTGCTCTTTGAAACTGCCCAAGGATCTCAGAACGTCTTGTTTAACGCAGTTTCACTACCTATTTGAGACATCTTTTGTGTTCTGAAGCAACAGTGCACCACACAGTACTAAAAGGACTTAAGTCAGACATCATTTTCCACTACACAATTAAAACACAGAAATGGTGAATAAAAGATAAAATACGCCTGTTGTGAAAAAGTTGGAATGGAGTTATTCATGAGAAACCTCTAAATATAACTTTGCCAAGATTGTTAGATAGTCACACACTGTCTTAGTTTCAGTTGGGATGGAATTGTTTCCTTCAGAGTGTCCAATATGATGCTATGTTTTAGTTCCAGGAGAAAAATAATGTTGATAATACCAATGTTGCTGCTCAGCAGTGCTGTACAGAGCCAAGGACATTTGCAGAAAAGGGCCTGAGGAGCTGGGAGGGAGCAGAATTAGGACAGCTGACTTGAACTGTCAAAGGGACATTCCATACTATATGGCATCATGTGGAAAGAGTTCTAAAGGGGGTGGGAGTTCATCTTTCCCTCTTTCGTTGCATGAGGGGCTAACTGGGCATCAGCAGGTAGTGAGCAATTGCTCGTGCAACACTTTGTATATACATTCATATATAAATATATGTA